AAAAAAAAAAAAAAAAAAGGAAGAGGAAAAAAGAACCACCACAAGAAACATATTAGTCAGAAAGAAAACAAGGGTCCCTTGTGTAACAACTGAATTAACATAACACTCCAAGGTCCTATCTGCCTAGTGTACTACTTACTACAATCTCAAATAATACAAGAAAAATTGTCTAAAAATGATGAGAATCAACAACAGCCTCAAGAGACATTCTGAGAGAACTTCAACTGTTTAACAACCCCGACGAGTAACACCATTCTCAAACAAAAACAACGACAAAGTTCAAAGAGGATTGGGGACCAAAAAAAAAGTTAAAATCGAACTACATTGGACAATACTGCAAAAGAAAAGGAGAAAATAGAACACCACGTCATTTAGTTTGCGATTCTGTGCTTTGGATAAAAAATACAGCACTTTGTGTTTTTTCCAATCACCCATCATTTGATTCCTGCTTCCCGAGGTACAACTGCAGCTTCAGCTAGATTAATTTTATGTGAGAAATGGAAAGCCCCTGAAGATAATTAAGAATGAACTGTAACTACATACATGTCTATCTGTGGTATATGGTGCACCAAGTGAATACAGAAAAGCATGTTTTTCCCATTGATTAGCGAAATAAAAACATAAACCAGCCAGAAAGGGTCAATATACATTCTCATTGATATATAAATAGAACTCTAAGCGTCGAGTGAACCCATGTGATTTTGGCTTCCACTTATTATAATACCATGACAAATTAAGAGCACAAATGTCCCGAAAACACACACACACACACACACACACTCACCAGTATCAGATTTTCTCAGGTGTCACATACAGTAAATAGCTTGATCTATATGAGGCGGGATCTGTTTTATCTCTGTGCCAAGCTCCTGTTCAATCCTGTACCTGTGAAATAGAAAGGAAAGGAAACAATAATTTAGTTAATATGGTGCAACTAATTATCATAGCAACTTAGACAGAGGGGGTTGAATTCTAGCTAATGCAAAGGAATAAGAGGCATACAAGTTGAAGCGATCTTCATATGTAATCAAATTCACAGCCAACCCAAGATGGCCAAACCTTCCCGAGCGACCCACCTATACAAGTAGATTCATAAACAGTAACTTGCAGGAAGTCGACCAGTATATCAGATCAGCAAGATAAGTTCTTGTTCATCTTTTTTGTTTTTGAACTATATTAATGCGTCCACATACCCTGTGGAGATAGGTTTCTGAGTTCTTGGGGAAATCGAAGTTTATGACGACATTGACAGCTTGGATGTCAATTCCCCTAGTGAATAAATCTGCACGTCACATTAAAACAAATGATATGTCATGATCTAATTAGTTATACTATAACATCCAGTGGCAGTATTCCAAGATTAAGGATTAAACTTAGAAGTTAGAAGTTGAACTTCGTCGTTTAATGTGGAAAGTAATGTCATGAATTAGCTTTTAGGGGCTTCAATTGAATAAATTGACAATTTCAATTGTGAATGGAGTTCACTACTAAAATAGTCTGAGCTTACCAGTACAAACAAGATTCCGGCAAGCACCATTCCTGAAGTCGTGAAATACTCTATTACGATGATCTTGCAGCATTTTGGCATGAATATAGAAACAAGAATAACCTAGCTCCGTGATTTTCTTGGCAAGCAGCTCGACTCGGTTCACGGAATTGCAAAAGATTATCGACTGGTTAATTTGCAACTGTAACCAAGAACCGATTGTAATATTTCCACCAAAGGAAAAGGAAAATAATATGAGAATTTTTAGGAGGTAATGATCAAACCTTTGAGAAGAGCGTATTGAGGCAGTGAACTTTCTGTCTTTCTTCAACAAAAGCATAATACTGGGTTATACCTTTGAGTGTGAGCTCATCCATAAGATTGATGATGTAAGGCTTCCGCAGATATTTATCTTTAAAATCTTTTACAGTTACTGGGAATGTAGCTGAATACATCAATATTTGCCGATTTGGGGGAAGAAAGGCGATCAGCTGCTCTATTGAAGGTTGAAATTCTGGAGATAACAGCTTATCAGCCTGATACAAACACCGGACAAAATTAGAAGGCACCAGATTTCCAGTGTCATGAACAATTAAAAATGATGATATGTTTCAAGTTTCAAAATCGAAAAAAATGAACTGAACCCATATGTACAATGTTTTTACGCAGACTTTCATAAAAGTAACTCCCTAGGTTAAAAGCTTATAAGGACCTATATGAACTGGGACATATATCCATTTTATCCAGCAAAGAACTCGATCACCACCCTACAATGATTCTTATTTGAAAAAATGTGGAGAAAAAAAAATGGTACATTGCTAATCAACATACCTCATCCATAACAAGCACTGAACAATCCTTCAAAACGCATATCCCTTTTTTGGTGAGATCGAGTATTCTTCCAGGAGTTCCAACCAACAAATGCACAGGTTGATACAATCTCATGATATCATCCTTCAAACTGGTTCCTCCGGTGCTAACCATCACCTGAATTTTCAAGTGTTTTCCTAGTTCCTTACATACTTGGGACGTCTGAAGTGCTAGTTCTCTTGTTGGAACTAAGATAACAACTGCATTTGTGATGAGCGCGCATATTTAATAGTAGAACATGAAATGCACCATAGAAATAATATGATAATGAGAAAAATGCAGATCTTGACAGAAATTCTCTAGTAAAATAAAAACTTAATATTGAAATCAAATATTATTTGAAAGATAATGCGAAGTAAAGAAAGGTAATCTTATAATATAAAATTACTGATTTTAGTTCATTAAAAAAAAAACAAATGTCCAATTAATTAAGATCAGAATATGGTGAAAAGATGATAGATATCATCTGAAACGCACAAAAAAAATCTCAAGCAACTAATGAAGAGTTTATGGTATGCTTCAATCCAAATCAACCTCCTTTCACGTCGTAAATTGGTTGAATCAAATATACCATTGAAATTACAAACTGTATTCTTTCTCGTGTAAGTGTGTGCATGTGTGAAGAAAAAAATATTGTTGAATCAATAATGGAAAGTGACATTCACTCTTCACTTACGAAAGTCGCAGCATAGAAGAGTAAGGTAAGTGTCTCTAGTAAAATAATGAACAAGTAATGGATCAACTGAATGCAAAGTCATGCACTGATAGATGAATATATACCTTGAATGACATTTTTATCTGAATCAATCTTTTCAAGAGAAGGAATGCAAAATGCAGCAGTCTTTCCGGTACCATTTTTAGCTCTCGCAAGAATATCACTACCGGTGAGAGCAATAGGAATACTTTCTTCTTGGATAGGAGAAGGCCTTTCAAATCCTTTTTCATATATTCCCATGAGTAGGTCACGTTTCAGAAAGTAATCTTCAAATTCATTTCCTTTTGTTGCAGTAACATCCTGCATGAAAAAAAAAAAAAAAAAAAAAAAAAAAAAAAAAAAAAAAAAAAAAAAAGAAAAAAGAAAAGGCATATCCAGCATTGAGAAATATAAATGAGAATTCAGTTCATAACAATGTTTGGATAAGAGATAATAGCCCCACCCAGAAACCCCAACAAGAGAGAGAGAGAGAGAGAGAGAGAGAGAGAGAGAGGGAATGTAAAGAAAAAGAAATGTAAAGGCAGAAATATGAAACATATACCAGTCGAGAAAGAAAAATATCACTCCTACTTCTCATATTCCACGAGTGTTCCGTATTCAGGCATCATGGAATAAAACAAGATGTACAAATGTGTGCATAGTCAACTGTCATATATGCACATGTGTTATCTATCTGAATGTTTATTATGTGTGGTTGCACCCCAGTGAAAACTTAGTTGAAAACCCAAAAAAAAATAAAGAAAAAGAAAAAGGGACAGTAGATAGGAGAATGGTGCAACAGTTAGTTTTAAAACAAATGAGGCAAAGCAGCATATTTGGAACCCAGAGCAAAGAAAGGTAGCTCAAATTTCAATCATCAGTTAAAACCACAATGTCATAAAACAAATTTTACTGGGTGTCATTGGTCATATTCATGACGCCAAGTACTATCAGCAAGTAGTTAGGATACCAATGGTCATTGCTTGTTGAATGAAACAGAAAAGAAGTTTCTTAAAGAACATATAGTTTTGTGTCATGAACATGTGCAAGCGTAAGAGTGAGAAATTATCTAATGGGTGAAGCATCCTAAGATGGTTAGTCAAACAGAAAGACTACACTGTAGAGGCTATAACCAGGAGCAGACGACCTAGTTAAAAGGAGAACGGGGGAAAGAAAATAAATTATTATTTCATAAACACATCATATTGTCAATCAACTTGAATAAGTCAGAACTATCATTCAGAAACTAGACCCATTTCGTTTATTATCATCAATTTCAAACTAACTCCACAATCAATTGTTCATTAATTTGGTTAGGAATCAAAGCAAGTTTAAATGTTAATACACTAGGAGAACGAGAAAAAGAAAATAAATTATTATTTCATAAACACATCATATTGTCAATCAACTTGAATCAGTCAGAACTATCACTCAAAAACTAGACCCATTTCGTCTATTAATCAATTTTTCATTAATTTGATTAAGAATCAAAGCAAGTTTAAATTTTTAATACACTTTCCATGTTAGACTTACAAATTATGATAATTTCAGTGGCCCATATCAAGACAAAATTGGAGTCCAACGAGATATTTTCTCACAACCATCAAGTATTCCATAATACAGAAATTTGGATTGACCTAGTAAATAGCAAGCAAACTTCCAATGTAAAATTTAAAGGGTGTATTTAATTGGGATTTATAAAGACTTTTATAAACTTTTTAGGATTTTAGAAATCCTGGTGTATTTAATTTAGACTTCTCAAGACTTTTAAAAGTCTTGAGTTATTCAATTAGGACTTTAAAAAGTCTTACAAATCCTGGGGTATTTAAATTATTTGAGACTAGGATTTGTAAGGACTTTTTAAGATTTGTTGGGATTTCTGAAGAAAAAAACATATACGAAATCTCACTACAAATCCCACCTCTAGACTTGGTATTTCACAGGATTCCTCCTAATCTGAAAATCTTAAAAAATCTTAAATCTTAAAGTCTTTAAATGTCACTCGAATTCCGAAACGAATAATACGAAGACAACAACTCAAACTTACACATTTAAAATATGAAAACTAGATGTAGTTAGAACAAATATTTGCATCTTACCTCAGTCTTATACCGCGTGTCGGGAGGTGGAATTGCTAGACGAGCCTTCCAATCTTTAGAGCTGATAATCCACGAAGCCAACAAGAAACAAACAAACGTAAGTAGTCAATTCCACATAGAAACCACACACAAATGATAATATATGTATACATACATCACTCACACTGTCACACATAGTATTGATCAAAATCTGAAGTCACAAGTAAGTTTCTAGACAATAAATCATATCCTGATATAAATGTACTCAAGTTTCTTGATATTACATTACCCGTATAAAAAACAGAACACCCAAATCAATTAATGTAAATGGCAAACCAACATGGTATCAGAGACCAATGAAAATATAAGTTAATTAACAAAAAGGTCATGTCAAGAAAACATACGTAGAACCAGCGGCATCGGGCTGCACGGTTTTTTCAACTTCGTTCGAAGACTCCGACACAACAGCGGCGTTAGGGTTTCGCCTCATCCACTGCTGCGGTTGATTCTGCGCGGTTCGCTGCGGGTACGATAGCTGCTGTTGCGGGTAATGCGGGTTCCGGCTCTGGTAGTTCTGATTCGTGTTCCCAACTCCAACCCCATCTCCGCCGCCGCCGCCGCCGCGACCGTTGCCGATCCCCGGTGGATACCGCCCTCGATTGTAATTGTTATTCATCAGAGAAGCAAAATCTTTCAGAAAACTGAGGGAATCTAGACCGGAAATATCTTTAATCAACGAAAAATATGAAATTGAGATGAATCTCCTGTGCAAATTTTGTGACTTCTTGGCCCCTTTTTTTCTTCTTCTCTGAGAATGGCTGTGTGCGTGTGAAGAGCGACCTAGTGAGAAGTATGTACGAGTGCGTGAATGTGTGCGAGTATGAGCAATTTCTATAAAAAAAAATAATAAAAAAACATGTGGACAAA